TGGCCTCCACCCTCGTAGCGATGGCCTCCACCCTAATAGCAATGGCCCAGTAGCGATGGCCTCCACCCTCGCAGCGATGGCCTCCACCGAGAAGCTTCTCGCTACTAGTAGGAACATGAACATTAGATTCAACATAAGTAGATCCAAATCCAACTAGGTCAGCTAGATCCAGGGGTGAGGTATCCCAGAGGCAGGCTGAACCCTGGCAGCGGCAAACAAACACAAACATGTATTAATATGAAGAAAGTAAGTTGATCCTCAAACATGACCTTCTGTGTCCCCAGAGAGTAAACTATTAGGGTTTTGTCAACCTCTGTGCAGATATTTATTGTAAACTTATGTCTCTAACATGTAGGGTATCCCCAAACCTGCGGGCAATTAAAAGAGCATATCAGCAAATCCCTCTTCCCTTGTCTTTTAGTTTTGAGCCTGAGCCTCAGCCATGTTTCTTGATACTGGAAGTTACTGTATAAGTAGTACATGCACCGGCCGCAACTGAACACGTTACCTTCAATCGGAGCAGTGATTAAGACATCCAAAGAAAGATCCAGGTATATTGCAGTCACAAAGGGGTGCTTAATGGAGGTTAGGGGTGCCCATTATCCACTCACTTGGGGATCAAACACCACCCCTTTGTGACTCCTGGTATATTGCAGTCTCAACTTCAACATTCATCCTTCCACACCCTGACCCGGAAATTGCCCAACGCGTGGTCCACGGACTTGGCGCTGTTCATATACGCAACCTTCGGAACCTTCGGTCTGTATTTAGGAACAACCAGGTGTCTATAATCGGTGTTTCCTCCCAAGACAGTGCATGTTACATCATGAATTACCATGTGTTAACTTTTTGGACATTGCACGTCTCGCCTTGAAAAAACGCGCAAAAGGGATGCCCAAACCCTTTGACTTCGAGCTCTCCGAAAAGCGGTCGGCGGTCGCGACTTCGGTCCTTGGGAACGCAGCGGCAGCAATTGGAGCAGCGCACGATGGCCGTGTGACCACGGCCGTGCCTCGGCGGCCGACGGGTGGCGGGATCCAGGCGCGGCGAACGGGAACGGGACGGTGGCGTGGCGGGTGGGACGGTGGCGTGGCGTGGGAGGTCCTCTGAGTGCGCACTGTTCTTGGCGGTCGAAGGGTGGTGCCGCCAGCCAATGTGCCATCGAACAAGGTGCCACGAGTGATGGTGACGGCATCTTCGATTGGGGTGTAATGAATTGGCCTTGGTGGAAGCCTTAGGCATAGAAGAATCTATAGTCAAGGCGAAGCGGCATGTGTCTCTCAGCACCTCCAATTGGTGCCGCTTTGTAGGACCTGTCTGATTTGTAGGACTGAGTGTTCTTGCGCGGTGAAACGTCAAGCCCAAAGCCATCTATCCAACCGCTGGAAAGGAGGGAGCAGGAAGAAGGACTGTATTGCAAGGTGTTTTCCAGAAAAGGTGTGTTGTATTTGCAAAGTATTTCCCAAACACTCCATAATATTAAACTATATGCTTAACATGACCAGGAAGCACCTGGAGCATCTGGGTTTTGGTTTCAATCTGGTGCATGCGTCCCAAAATTCAAAAGGCTTCGGCTCTCTGTTGCTGGCAAGAAACCTTAATCAACCCTTGCCCCTTGCCCTGACACACGGCCTCCCTGACATACCTCCTACTCGGTGGCACTCCGCTATTCTTGTGGCACTCCGCACCCCAAGCGTGGCAATGGTGTCTCTCGCTTCGTGCTTTCTTTTTCAATCTTCCCCTTCTCCGGTCCCATTCAAATCTCAAGGGTCATAGGTGGTCATCCAATGTCATCCACAAATGGAGACGAGAGACCCCGGAGAGGAACAACAGGTCGTGAAGTCGCCGAACAACCCCCGCCCGGTCGTAAAAAGAAAGCACCACGTGGTCGCGCTGGTTCCAGCATCACCGAGCGGCTTGGATCGTCCGTTGTTGCGGCGCTTGGATGGCATGGTGCTCCACACGTCCCCGGAGGCTTCAATTGTCGGGTCTGAGCCACACTGAAGAACGACAGCCAAGCAGAAAGGCTTGGCTTCAGTGGCACGGTCCAAAAGCACAACACGTACCATGCATCATTGCGTCATCAGTCATATAAGAAGCAATTGAATTGGTTTATATCAAGTACAGTAAATCCATCAAAGCAAACACATTATATAAGTGTTGTGTTTTTTTGCGAGATATATAAAGCTTTCCCAGCTAATATGATAAGGGGTGATAAGGGGCATTAACTCCACGTGTGTATTCAGAGGGTAGTGCTCCAGGCAGTCTGATGTTTCATAGGCAGTAAATGGAAGTCATCCGTTGAAGTACCACCTTCATCCGCATTCACTGTTTGTACGCTTGGAAAAAAGAACAGCTTGGAAAGCGGAAAGCGGGACTCCAACAAATACCATCACTCTGAAAAAAAGAAACTAACATGTCCCTCATTGAAAGGAACATGTACCATGGAAATCCGCCATCGCCATCGCGACGATCGGAGGTAGGTCGCTTTTAGAAGTCGTTTCGGCGCGCGCTCCCAAACGACAGCCTCGGACAACAGCCTCGGGTCCAGCCTCTGAGGCTCCCAACTTCACTTGCAGCTCACGATTTCGACTAATGTTGAGATGAAAAATCCTGGATGCTCACGGTCTGAACAAACCAGTTCAGTCGTGGAAGGCCGGCGGTGGAAGGCCGGCGGTGGAGCACGTTCAACAAGGACTGCCTGTAGATTGGTACTTTCTGTATGACAAAACATCCTGACATCTTCTATTCTTGTAATCCTACAAATTAGAAATGACCAAACCATACCAAACCTCTCATACACAATAGATCAAAATCCATGGGCTTCTCAACAAACTGTTTGTGCTTCATGACCATGGGCCACCGCATTCAACCCAGCGTGCAGTATTCAACAGTCCGGTGGCAACGGAATTGCTCCTCCAACCGTTGCTCTTGAATTCCAAGCCGAAGGGACGACCCGGTGTTCTTCCGAACCTCCCAACGCTCGCGCTCCCCGTGCTCCCCCCAACTCCCGCTCGGGGCAGGCCGCCTATCATCCTCGAACCAAAGATCTTCATGGAAAGGGCTGTCCTGTCGCCGCAGTGGCAGCGGAACATCTCAGATGTTCCACCAACGCACGTGGAAGAGCGTGGATCGACGGATTGATGGATCGACGCGCCTACAAGCTACCCATGGATGATGATGATGATGATGAGGATGAGTAGCAGGAAAAGGATTGGTAGGACACTGAAACCACACATAGTAGCAAAGCAAAAAGAAACTCGTGATGGATGATGATTGCACAAACACCATCAAACAACCTAGAATACGCATAAATAAATAAGTATTTATATGTATATACATGTGTCATAAATCATAAAGGTCAATATAATGTGTCCCTTGAATGAGGTTGCTTATCCATGAACAGGTGATGCCACTGATGCAAGCATCTTTTGCAGACTGGCTGCAAAACATCGATGACAACCAATGTCTCTAGTCATCCACAGATGTCCCAAGTCACCTGAGCCAAAACAACTCGGCGCCTCATGGACTACTGGGATTTTTTCGGGGCCCCTCTCAGTTGATTGATTGCACTTGTAAATCGTATGTCCTTAGGGTTCTCAGCTGTCAGAATGTTCATGAGCACGCGTGACATCCACTCTCCTGTAGATGGTACTACATACTGCTGCTGGGCCACAGATATGGTGCTACAATCCCATCTCATCCAAAATAGGACCACTATACTGACTGCATACTTTGAATCGGTCGTCTCAGTTGTCTGCTACATCGAACCGTCCACGACAAAGCACCAGAAAGCTAGGAAAAACATCTTCCAGCACCACTCAGCGACCCAGGTGTTCTTGTCTTTCTTCGATCCTCCTGACTCCTGACCAGGTCTTTTCCAATGCAAAACATCCGAAGCTGGGTGGTGCCTGGTCAGGTCAGTAAGAGGCACCTTCCTCCTAAAAAGTCGTCGTCCGTGCGTGAGAAAACACCGCCCAACACACGTTTTGGGGGTGGGTTGAACACACCACCAACGTCCCTCGTCCTTCGTCCCTCGTCTCGTCCCTCGGGTCCCGCGACTCGTCCCTCGGATTCCTCGGGTCCCTCGTCCACCCGACCCTTCGCTCGCCTGAGTCTTATGGACCCATCGCCTTGGACCGGACGGAACAAACGGCGACGGGAGGGGTTCGCCGAGTTCGAGAAAGCGTTCGGAACAGCGGGGGCCGGTGGACCGGTGGATGAAAGCTATAACACTAATATATACTATCATATATACTACATACTATAGTATATACTATATCACAAGGTCCAAACACATATACATACTATCTATATACTTAATGGATTTATGGATGGGAAACTCATTTGGGGGAGCTTTTCACCCCTTGTTATGTTGTTTAGACCTCAAGCTTTCACCAGATCTTGGAACGTTTCATTTCTGCTTGAGACTGGGGAGGGTCGGGAGTGTCTCCAGCAGTACCATTCACATCTGTCATGATCTGATCTGATGTCAGGGAAGATTGAGTGGAAGACTTTTTGGACGCTACAGGCCACAGAAGCATGGAAACGAACCAAAGATCAAGAATGGCCTTCTGCCGACTCTCCTTTTCATCTTCAGATCCCTTCCCGGCCGGTTTTTTCCTCACCAAAATGGTATGTTTTTTTCTGTATCAACTCCCTGGTTGGCCAATTGTTCAACAAGCGAACTGTTGTCATCCACTCTCCACGGGACTCCCCATACACCTCATCGTCCGCCTGTCCAACTCCCCAGACGTCCACCTTCTCCACCAAGCACCCAGAGTCGCTTTGTTCCCAGCTCCCTCGCCCGCCGTCAGTCGTTCCGCCCAGACACTCTTCCCTCTCCCGCATCGCGTCCAAGAAATTCCGCCTTGAATGGAACTTCTCCCTGCCACGGAGCTTTCACCACGCTTTCGACCGGCCACGAGGTCGGGCGGTTTCACGAGCGCGTCGCATGTGTCGCGTCGCACGGAGCACGTCGCGTCTCGGCGACGCGGAGCACGGAGAACGGAAGACTGGCGAACGACCACATGGCTGAAGTACCCTAACCACTCGGACTAAGACCAAGTATGACCTGTGTCTGGCTGACCTCATTGAGTTCGAGCTTTTAACTGGGCAAGCATGGATTTCGTGAATTGCCTTGATCTTGTATGAATTAACTCAGACCTTTGTTACACCCTGCACAGTGGTTGGTTTAAAACAAAAAACATAAATGAACGTCGTCGCGATCTGCTGGTGATTTGGTGAGTTTCATCCCGGCAAAAGGTAGAACTCAATGACAGCACCAGTCGAGCAGTCTCTGCATTCTGAGCAGGAAAGAGAATCCCTTCCGCTCAACCGAACTGTCCACCAGTTGGAATCCAATGGGGAAACCAATCCACAAAAAAAACAACATGTTATTCACTGACTGGGTAGGATAAGAGGGGGAAATGTAAAAAAAAATGCGAGTCTCTAAAAGGATATGATATCCTCTTAGTCGACTTTTGGTTGGTTTGCATTCATTCCATCTCATGTTCATGGTTTTGGGTAGGAAATCGCTGGACTTGGCCATCAATGATTTGCGATCTTGGCCCCCTAAAACTGACTCAGAAACCCCGCAATGTACACCCAGAAGGTCAATACACGGCTGTGTGTGCAAACTCTCAAGTACAGAATGATGCCCCTGCACCAATCTTCAGCTGTGATTATTTTGAAGATCTAAGCACTTTAGTGGCCAAGGTTTATTCCCCTTCAACAGCCAACAAAAAGATCGGTTGCGTTTGCCGTGCCACCTGACCACCAGCTGTCCGACTCTTCCAATTTCCGTATGTTTTGGGTTTTGGTTGACAAAACATATTTTCCCTTCATGACCAGGAACACTAACCGTCTGCCATGTTCCGTCTGCCTCTTTATTGAGCCGGCATACTAACTGTTCTGCTAATTGTCCCTCCAGCAGTTCCAAAGGATTGGTCATGATTGGTTTATAGAGTGATAGACCAGGAGTGTCCATCACCATTTCACTTGTGAAACTCTTTTCCCTTCGGCAACCATTGGTCTTTAGGCAATCAGGCTCCAGCGCTCTCACCTGCGCCCTCGCCTGCGAAAGTCCTCGCGTGCCTTGATCCTGGCGTTGTGAAATCTCAAAACGCCGGTTAAACGTCGCTTGGGGGCCACAGCACATAAATCTCTGCAGGTTTTGATAGCTTACATCCGACATCTTAAGAATGTACACTGAATGTACAAGAACACCCAGACCCAGACATAACCAAACTGGTTTTACATCACAACCGGAAAATTCAAGTCGAGTCCAGGGACGGGTTGGGTCTCTTCACACGACGAAATGATGGGTCCTGGGAAGTGATCAAGTGATCTCCAGTCCTTCGTTTGGGCTGCGCAGCAGAAAAGTTCCGTTCTGAGATTTCCAAATGCAATCTCTCTGCGCAGGGTCGCACGAATCGCGGGCCGCGGGACGGTGCTTGACGGAGGCGCGCTCTCATTGCGGTGCCGCGCGCATTTTTGGACGTGGTGATCACTTTTCGTGGCAGGTGCCAGGGAAACCTCGTGTTTTTGTGGTCAAAAATCGATGGAGCAGCGGTAGCGTATCCGCGGCGACCGCTGCAGCGTCTAGTCTCTCTGGCCCCATGCACTCTTCCCACTGATGCAAGCTCCGGGCCCCGTGGACTTGCCACTGGCCCCGCTTTTGCCGCTCCTTGTGCCGGGTGAACTCTTACCGGCCCAATGGCTTGGCATTGCTGTGTTGCAAAGACCTTGCGGTCTGCATTTCAGAATGGATAATTGGATAATAACTGTTTGGGGCTTGCACGCGAAACAGGCAAAGCACCTCTCCGTGCTCAAGGCCTTCGAGGGCATGGACTATCTCCTCCCTACGATCAGCAAAGACTTCGCAGGACTGATCCCGCGTCCCTCGGGAGCTGACAGTGCCCTACGCTGGCTCAAAGACGCCCTCCGACGCCGGGGGGTGGCCCAGGAGCACGTCACGCCCCTCACTTGGCACTCTTTCCGGGTTTTCATTCCGGACTGTGCCTTCCAACTGGGGGTTCCCCGCTCGGAGCGGCTCTTGGCACATTGACACAGACACACGCACACACACACACATATATATATATATATTAAAACAAATCAACATATAATCACTTTATGGTACAATAAAGGAACTTGTTTTTTAGTTAGTCTTCTTTCCAGTTCTTTCTTGCAATTCAAGGACGCTGCCGACCTCCTATTTTTCGAAAATATAGAAAGAATGACTAATTTATTCGACGACCCAAACAAGGAGTTGCCCGCGATGCCCCCACACCCCCCCAAATTGGCGGGGGCGGTACTTTCTGCATCTTGAAGTGCAAATTTCGTGGGACGTGCAGTACTTTGTGGACCTTGAAGTGAAGATTTCGGAGCAAGCGAAATACTTGGTGGACCTTGAAGTGCAGATTTCGACACAAGTGCAGTATTTTTGGACTTTGAAGTGCAGATTTCGTGGCAGGCGCCGTACTTTGCGGGCCTTGAAGTGCACATTTTGTGGACGCGGAGTACTTCCCAGGGGATCTCGATTGCTCTCTAAGAAGGTAATCGGGGCTCAATAGCATCATGAAGAGACATCGAGGGCCAATAGCATTCTGAGCAAAAGTTGGCCAACCAGATGGTTTTGATATTTCCAGAAAAATATGGTTTTCCCCTCTTTGATGCTGAATCAACCCTCCTCAGCCCCATCCGGCTCTGCCACGCGATGTTTCTTCACTGCCTTGCAGCGTGCGGAGCCTCAGCCTGCCTTTTCCAGGTGTCGGCTTGCAACTTATTGGTGAGCCTTAGGTGCACATACAGTGTCATGAGGACACCACCCAGGTTTACTCATTTTAGAACAAACTTTAGGCACCCAAACTTTGCCAAGGAACCCTGTGTACCATCTCTTCAGTGCAAATTCTTCCAGCGAAGCATGTTGAGAAGCCCAGCAGCAATGCTTCAACTGTCCAATCCAATCCTCCGAAGAAAAGCCGTGATACTTGCGGAAGTTCAATCCTGACAGCAGGGTTCCAAGCCAACAGGACATGTACCATAGCCACATCTAGCTACTAGCCACCTCAACACTACAAAACTGGGAGGTTGATATATACCGAGGTTCTTTCAAGTGTCTGCCAATACCCAATCTCCTGGAGTGCCTTGCTGCCGGTGGGAGGATGATAGGTGCCAGATGTGTTTTTTTTGCCCACACTCAAGCAAACAAAAAGGTGTAAAATAGTCACACCCAGATGCATGAAACTTCGGCCTTGCAGGCCACAACAGCAGATTCATGTTCATAGCTTCACAAGCAAGCTCGATATAGTTACCCATGATGGTGTCCTCAACCCCCACAAGGTGCAAAACAATCACCAACCTTGACCTGACCCAAGAAAAGGCCCTTAATTTGGGATGGGGTTGGTTTTGGGTTTGGGTTCATGCAAAAAAATGCTTTACCCTAGGGATCCAAGTACCTTCTCAGAAGGTGATTGGAGGCACTGTTATGTAGGTTTGGAGGGTCCAAGTACCTTCTGAGAAGGTACTTGGATCCCTAGGGTTAACTGAACCACAGGTCTATTTGATGCTTCATCTTCAAAGCAACATCGGCCGTGAGGTAGCGGCCCTCATGCTCCGAAGTGGCGTGGAGATCTGCGGCTGAGCACCTTGGCCGGGTTTGTGGAGTCGCATTTTTGGTGTGTATATTCACATCTCCAGAAGGCAGAAGAAACATCGTGAGATTATGAAAAAGAGGCACAGGGTGCCAAACTGAAGGGACAGGTTCCCAAACTCAGACCAAACAGCTGTTGGGCTATGTCCATCGTTGGTAGCCTTGACAAGAGCTACACCTCAAACAATGCTGAGACTGGCTACACTCGCAAGCATGTATGGCGGCATCACACTTCGAGCCCAACCAGAACCAGAAGGTTAAGCAACCGTCGACCCATGTGGAGAAGTCTTCTGGGAGTTGCGCCTGCGTCAAGACACATACCATGGACTGCTTTGGAGAGACCCTGACGCGTCAGAACAGGCGGCCGATGTCCTGATGACACACTACGAGATCGCCTGCAATGAGCAATCAGAGCAGAGAGATGTGAACGCTATGTGCTTCCCAAGGCACACACAAGCTTCCCAGAGTACGCCTTATTGAAAAAATTCAATAAAGTTATTGGTTTTAAAGTTGTTATTGAAACAACCATTTTATTGAAATGAAACAATAACTTTATTGGTTTGTGTTTCAATAAAGTTATTGGTCCCAACCAATAAACCTTACTGGTTTGTATTTCAATAAACTGGCTTTGTAGAAGGGTCACTTAAGGAAAGCAGCATGTCAAGCTTGTTCTGTGCTTGTAGGAACTAAGCAGGAACCCTGGAGTTGAAACCCACTTGCAAGTTCTTTTTTTGCTTACAAGCAGCCTTTTTGTTCAAGAGCAAGGACAAGCCCTGTATAAGGGCCAGCCCTGCATAAGGGCAAGCCCTGCAAAAGGGCAAGCCTGTGTGAGGGCAAGCTTCATGCCTGAAGCAATTGAGCTTGACCCTTTAGATCTGCTGGTAAAGCCTCCTGTAACTTGGCAAGAAAAGCAGGAAGCATACTGGCAGTACCTTCAGTGCTCAAGGCCAGGCTGCAGAGCCTGGTTGTGGAGGAGGCACTTGGGTGATGGTGCTTGGGGTCTCAGGTGCTACCTGTGCAGCCAGGAGTGGAGAACCACCTTCATGGAAGATGGGTTGCACTACTGGGACCCCAGGCACAAAAGAGAATACCAAAGAGAAAGGTAAGCCTTGAGAAAAGGCCCAAGCCTTGGCAAGAGGCAGTTGAGAGGAGCCCAGCCAAGAAAGAAAAAAGCAAACATGCATGTCTTGGTGGTGTAGTGTACTGTTATTGCAGGCTTAGACTTGGTGCAATGCATGTGTTGTTCCTTTGCAGCAGGCTCAAGCTCACCAAAGGGTGTTCATATCCATCAGGCAAATCCCTGCAGAAGGGTAAAGCCCTGCAGAAGGGCTGAAGCATGAGCCTGATGAAGCCAGGAAGAAAAAGAAAGAAAGGTGCTGGAAACAGCAACCCATGCAAAAGAGTTGGGTTTCCTGACATTGATCAGGAAGAATTGAATGATGCCTTTGACAGCCACATTCGACAAGTAGGAGCAAAACAGGCTTGTAATTTTTTTGAATACTCATATTTGGAAGCCCAACAAGCTGAGTCACCAAAGGCAATTTTCAGGCTGCATGGGCTCATCAACAATCTGTTGCAAGTGAGCCCTACTGCCCAGATCAAATACAAAGGCATCAGAGATGCCTTGGCTGCAAACATGAAGAAGTTTGGCCCAGAGCTTTTGTCAAAGCACTTTGAGAATGTTGAGGTGGCACATCTTGCTGGAAGGGCTGCAGACTCAGTCCTGGTCCTTTTAAAGCATTGGCGAAGGATCACTAGCAGCCCTGCAGCCTGGGAAAGGTTTGGCAGAAAAGTTGAGGAGGCACAGCTGCAAGTGCTGATGCCTTTGTACAAGTGTACTGAGAAGGATCCTGTGAAGCCCAGAATTTTGAAGAAGGAATTTAGTGAGGTCACAGTTGGCAGTGATGGCTTCCCAGCCATGTTGGCTACATCAGGATCAGAAAGCCAAAGTGAAGCAAGTATCCCAGAAAGCTTGGCCCACAGCCACCCTCCAGTGCTGAAAAAGGATTGGAGGTCCCAAGCTGGCAGAGAGCTTAAGAAGAAGCCAGCAGGCAAAGAAGTGGCACAGAGCAGCAAGAAGGTGGAAAAAGGGCAAGGCCTTTACAAAAGGGATGAAAAGACCAAGCAGCATGGTGTCTCACAAAAGTGGAAAGGAGGAGGAGAAGGCAGAATCCAAAGCTGGTGGGCCAGATACAGTGGTGGATGTGGCCACTTTGAGCCTGGGGGGTGGAAAGAAACAGACCTACATCCAACACCAACCAAATGGCAAAGGCACCCCCAAGAGGCTCATTGTTGCTTGTACAATCCAACAAGCTAGCTCCCTGACAATCAGCCACAAGCAATTGGTGGAAGAGCTTATCCCCCATTGCAAAAAGCCAGGTGCAACCAAGGGCTCCATCCTTGAGGCAAGGGCAAACCTGATTGGCAAATACAAAAAGTAAATGCACACATGGCAGCCATCCAAATTCAAAGGCAAGCCTTGCAAAAAGGGAAGCCTTGCAGAAAGGCAAGCCTTGCAAACAATATGCACTGGTGAGAAGACAGCTATGGTAGCAAAAGTGTGCCTTTCAAATGCCCAGCAAACATGTGATGCAAACAGATTGCCATAGCACATACCAGCTTGATGCCAATGTTGAACATGCCAATGTAAACAACCATGCCATGCCTGTTTAACTCTGCAGCCCCTTTGTTTGCGCAAAAAAAGGCTTTGTTTTTTTAAGTGTGAGCCTGCAAGGGCAACAAAAAAGCCTTGAATAAAGGCAAAGCCCTGAATAAGGGCAAAGCAAATGGCTAACAGCCCATCTCCCAGCCCTGCCTGGTCAAGGTCATCACCAAGCAGGAGCAAGAGTGTGCACAGGACAGGAAACAGAAAAGACAGCTGGGAAGAGTGGGAGTGGGAAGATGGAGGCTGGGAGAGGCGGTCATGGCAAAACAAGCCATGGTGGGAAAAGGGTGATAGCAGGGAAAGGGAGGATTGGGGTGCAGGAAAGCTTGGAGAAAGCACAACCTCTGGCTCATACAGGGAGAGGCAGAGGCTGCACCACATACAGGCAAAACATGGCCAACCAAGAAACCAGGAAGAGCTCGACCTGCAGAGGCTGAGTGCAATGGGCCAAAGCAGGTTCAAAAGGCTGGCAGACAGGAAAGAAAGAAGGGCAAAGGAAGAGGCTGCCAAGCAGGAAGCCTTCCAAGCTGGTGCCAACTGGCAGTTCCAACTGCAGCAGCTGCAGCAAATGCAGCAATGGCAGGCCCACCAATGGCAGGCCCAGCAATGGCAGGCCCAGCAATGGGGGTCTATGTGGGAACACCCACACCCACAAGGCTGGTACAAAATCACATGATTTTTTTCTGAACAAGTGTTGTGGTGCAGTCTCTCCTTGTTTGTCTTTCCTGCCTTGCAGCAGGTGGCCAGCAGCCCCAAGGAAGTGGCCACAAAGGCCAAACTCAACAGAAAGGAGCAGAGAAAGGACTGAATGCAGCCCCTTACCTTTTGGAATTAAGTTCATTTGCTTGCAGGCCTCTCATTTATGTTTTTTCATGCTTTTATGTTTTTTCATGCTGGCAGGAGCCCCAAAAGGTGAGCCTGCTTCAAAGTCAACAAGTGGCCCTGTGAAAGGGAATGTCCCTGTCCAGGGGAAAGGCACTGCAAAAGGTGAAGAGCAGAGTTCCTCTTCATCTTGCTCCTCCTCAGCTCTGCCAGCACCTCACCTGCAAAGGGTTCCAAGCCCAAGGGTAAAGGAACCTCACCCAAGGGTAAAGGAACCTCACCTGCTGGGACAAAGGGTTCCAAGCCCAAGGGCAAAGCAAGGCCCAACAATGTGGAGAGAGAGCCAAGCAGGCTGTGTGGAGGGTCTCCTGGGTGACCAAGAGGAGCTGACTTGGGTTCAGGTGGTTGGGAAAAAAGGCCAAAACATACACAAAGCAAGCCCTGAAAAAGGGCAAAGACAAACCCTGAAAAGGGGTAAGCCTGAAGAAGGGCAAGCAACCAAAACAAAGGTAAGCCCTAAAAAGGGCAAGCCATGAAGAAGGGCAATCAACCAAGACCGACTGCTTGGACTTGGAAAAAAGGGGTGAGCCAGAAAAGTTGTCAAACAAGTGTGTGTGCTTTGACAAAACATGTTGGCCACTTAAATGAAAATCAAAAATTCACCAAAAAATATTTCAATAGAAAAAACCACTGTCCATCATATTACATCATATGACATCATATGATGGGTTCTGCCATCATATGATGGGTTTTTGCCATCATATGATGGGTTTTTGCCATCATATGATGGCCTGTGCCATCATATTACATCATATGATGTCATATGATGGGGGCTGTTTTTTTCTCTGCTGAGCTTTTTTTGTGGCTCAAATCCAGGAGCATTCTTGTGCACAGAGTTGTATCTGAAGGATTTGGCCCTGTAGAGGGGCAATGAAAAAGGTAATGAAGAGCATGAAGGTGAAAGGGAAAAAAAAGCACTGCAAAAGGGCAAAGCCCTGAGAAAGGGCCCAAGAAAAGGCCAGCTGCCAACCCAGGTGGCAATGGTGAACCCATGTCCTTGGAAGAGAAAATGGAGCAGTTTAACAAAAAAAAAGGATGGGTGTGTCCAGACATTTCTGGACAAGCTCACTTCTGGGCAGAGAGAATGTCTGTGGGGCAAGTTCAAAAGGGCTAGAGAAGCCTTGGGGGACAAGGACCTGGAGGAGAAGTGGAACACGCACTGCAAAGGCAATGGAAGTGACCCCAAGAAGAAAGCCTTGCTCAAGGTGTTCCTGCAGAATGAGGGCAATCTCAAAAAGAATGATCACTTTATGAAGGAGATGGTCAGGCTGACTGAAGTGAGTGGAAAGAAGGAAAAGGAACAGTGGGTGCCCTTTGCCACCATACTCCACCGCTTTGGGCTCAATGAAGCTATGAGAAGAGCTCCTTGGTTTTCATGCCAAACTTTTTCAATCCCAGTAAAGCATCCCTTTGACAGGTATTGATAAATCATATCATGTTTTCACATTGCCTGGTCAGGTCCAGAGGGGCAGCATCAAGGTCAGGAAAGACCCTAAAGACCTAGCAGAGTGGCAATTTGCACTTGAGGAGGAAATCAAGTACAAGACCACAGAGGAAGCACATGAGAAGCAAGCTTGTGCCTCTGGGAAGGCAGAGGCAGTTGCCTTCATGAAGGTCAAAGCAGCTGGCCTCATGGGGATGGATGACCCATCTGGTCTTGCTGAGCAGGCTTTGGCTGATGTGGGTGCTGGGAACAAGAAGTCTGTCCTGGCCATCAAAGACAAGGATGCATCCACACATGATGAGGTGGAAACAGAGGCAGAGCCAAGCCCAAAGAAAAAGAAAGCTGCAGACCCTGATGCTGAGGAGGCTGAGCTCCTAAGTGACATAGGTGCCAGCAGCAACAAGGATCTGGCCACAAAGAGGGTTCTAAAGATGGTGGCTCTGTTGGAGAAGGTGAAAAAGGATTCAAAGGTGGACTCCAGCACACCCAAGGGCAAAAAACTGCTGGATTGCCTGCAGGAGCTCAAGAAGCTGCAAAAGACTGGCACCAAGTTGAACATGGAAACAGCCAAGCAGCAGCTCTTTGAAGGTGCTTTGGCCATCAAAAGAATCAAAAAGTAGATACAAAAAGCTTGAGCCTTGAAGAAAGGCCAAGCCCTGAGGAAGGGCATAGGCTTTCTTTTGGAGCAAGATGGCAGCCTTAAAGGTAAAAAGGGTGGGAGCTCTCAATGAAATGTTGTTTTTCTCCACTTGACTCTGCCAGAGGCTTTTGTTCAGGCAAGTGTTTGGCCCAAATACAGCCTTCAGGAAGAAGACCTGTGCAAAAGGGTCTTTTCAGCCCTGGATAAGGGCAAAGCCTTGAGGAAAGGCTACAAAATAGTATGGCCAAATGGAAAAGAAAGAAAACACACCAAGTTGAGGAAAGACATCAATTACTAGAGGATATGAGCCCTCTTGGTCTGGCACTGCTAGACCAATTTGCACATGGGATGTCAGAGGCTTTGCTGCAAAGGGTGTTTCTGTGCCTGGGGGTTGTGTGGAGTGTTTCCTCCTTCACTTGCTCCAGCTCAGGGCCCTTCAGTGCAGAGCTTAGCTTTTGCAGCTGCAAAGTCTGGAGTGACTGCTCATGACATACAAGACCTTTCCAGCCTGGGAAACTTTGGGAGGAATCAGAACCATGTGGCTGGCCAATTGACATCGAAATTTTGCAAGAGTGAAGAGTTGGATGTTCCTTTCCCCTACTTCTTTGAAGCTCCTGTAATGAAAAAAGGTGCAGACAAGTGGTTCTTGGCCACTGAGAAGTTGGCAGTATTCCTGCCTCATGAGTGGTTTGCATGGATGCAGAGCCACTCCAATGTGTCAGGAATAAGCCAGCTGCAAAATTTGTGGGAAGAACATGATCCATCAGACCCCAAGCTACACAACAGCACACTCAAAAGCCAAAGGGACCAGTGCCTGCCCTTAATGGTTCATGCTGATGGGGGTGCCTTTCAGAAATTTGACTCCATCACTATCATCTCATTCAGAAGCTTGCTGAGTGATGAGAATGTATCATCTTCTCAGATGCTCCTAGCAGCTGTTCCCAAATCCTGCCAGAACAAAACTGCAGACTTCAAGGATGACACCATGTCAGCAGTGTGGGAAGTACTCACTTGGAGTTTCTCACATCTATTTTATGGCAAATACCCAGAACATGATCACCTGGGCAAGGCATGGCCCCAGAAGTCTCAGAGGGCAGAGAAAGCTGGCAGTCACCTTTGGGAAGACAAGCTCAGAGGCACATTGTTCCAGTTCAGTGCTGATGGGGAGTTTTTACAAAACGATCTGAGACTGCCAGGGTGGTCACATTCATCTGTCTGTGTGCACTGCAAAGCAAACAAGTCCTGCACACCACACAATGATTATCGGCCAAATGCAAAGTGGAGGTCATCTTTGGCAAAGCCTGGCACACCTCTGCCTGGTGGGCATCCTGTGTCTAAGGTTCCTGGCCTGAATATATTCACTGTGGGCTATGACACTTTGCACTGTTTGGAGGAGGGTGTCAGTGCACACACCTTGGCAAACTGCCTATTTGATTTAATCATTAAACCAGGTGGCCTTGGAGCTGGGAGTCAAGATCAAAATTTGCAGAGAATGTACAAGCTTATCAGGCAGCAATATCTTGAACTTGGCATTGAGTCAAGCAATCAGATCAAAAAATTGACCCTGTCCAACTTCACTTGCAAAAACCAGAAGTATGACAGATTTCCTGAAATCACAGGGTATAAAGCCAGACACATTCGCTACCTGGTCCCAGTCATGAAAGAGATCATTCAGGAATACACTGACCATGAAGATCCCTATTGCAAACACAGGTGGGAGTGCCTGGTGAACCTCACCCACATGTATGACTTGATGGATTCAAATGGTCTTCACATGAGCAAGGAAGACAGCAAGGCATTCAAGAAGGTCTGTGACCTGACTCTTTTGCATTACTCTCGATGTGCAAAGCTATCTATTGATCAAGGATTTTTACAATGGAACACTGTGCATAAACACCACTTAGTGGCACACATGGGGTACCAAGCAGCCTTCATGAACCCTCGCTTCATGAGTACATACTCAGGAGAAACCATGGTTGGCTATCAAGCTAGTCTTGCTCACAGTTGCCTAAATGGCAGTGCACCACACTTGGTGGCTGAGAAGGTCCTCTGGAAGTTTAGACTTGGCTGGCACCTGCGCATGGAGAGGAGGCTTTGTCTGCAGCCAGTGATGACTCTTGAAAGCCTTGAACAAAAGGCAGTGCCTTGCACAAAGGCAATGCCCTGAAGAAGGGCTACAAGAGCTTTGAAGAGACTTGCTTGGCAAAAAAGAGACATCTTGCACTTGTGTTGAAATGAACATCTGGAGCAAGAAATTATTGAAATTGGTCTTATTGAAATGTAGGTTCCTTATTGGTTCAGGTGCCAAAATGTTATTGAAACACAAACCAATAAAATTTCCAGTTTTATTGAAATGCATAGCCATTATTGAAACAAGCGAAAGTTATTGAATTTTTTCAATAAGGCGTACTCTGGGTTTGACTCGTGCAAAGCGAGCATGAAGGACCGGATCTTCAAGATCACCATATTTTTGCAAGAATGCTGCAAGCCATGCGACAATAACTCTAGCCTTAGTTGCAAATCCAAGACTGTTAACCTTTGTTCGAGTCTTGAGATCAAGAAATGCTTGCTTACAGAGGAATGATCGGAGCCTAGGGGCGTTTAAAAGGGCTCAGAAAAGGCCGGTCTACCTTTTTTGAAATTGCATTGTTGACAAGGCAAAATTCAAAACTTCAAAACATGGAGCAAAGCCATGCAGCATTCCACGCTTTGGATTGCAATTCTGGGTAGGGATGCTGTCTACTCCGGATCGACTTTTTTGAAAATTTTCCAGCACTATGCCTGGGCTGCCAGAACTACAAGCTGATATCAGCAAATGCATCGTACTGGTGGAAAAACAAGACCCGCCACAAAAAATGATATACTTCAAACCAAAGCTCTCCCATTTGTACTCCCGACACCAAGACTTGAACTCTTGCCATGCCCTGTACAGCCTTTCATCCACAGACCCATCCCCCCAAGCACCGAAGTCATCCAAGAGCACTCGGAAAGTGCTCCCTGCAATGAAAAGATCGCATCCTAAATGTATCACATGCATTCCACACCAGCGTAGCATTCCCAAATGGAAATGTGGTACTTGCAGCAGCGAGCCTGAACATCAAGCCCTTTGGGCTTTGCAGGGTTGATTTCAGTGTGTCAGCATAGACCCCAAACAGTTTCAAAACGATTTGTTCGGATCAATGTTAGTCTAAAACAATTTCTTGGTACACCCTACCTTCCCCTCCCAAGAGCAAACTGCTTCATCAATGATTTCTGCCGGCTGTGACATCACTTTTTGTTTGGCCACAGGAGCAGACAAGAGAAGAGCAGGACAAGAGCAAACAAGAGGATGACAAGACCCGGCCACAGAGCCCAGCCACAGAGTTCAGGGGCATGGCCAGCCAGTGTGGGCAGGGCTGGTCAGCACCGCCAGAGGACAACAGCAGGACAAGAGAAGGACAACAGCAGGACAAGAGGAGGACAAGACCTGGCCACAGAGCCCAGCCACAGAGCCTGGCCACAGAGCCCGGACACAGAGTCACAGCCAGTCAGTGTGGCCAGCTTGTTTCTAAGAGAGAACCCCAACAGTAAACTGTTTGGAGCACAAATGATCCAAAAATTTGGATCCATGTGAAAATTCGAACATGTTTTAACTGGAAATATGTCTAGCGGGGTTGCCTCCATGGTGTTGGGATCCAAGTACATCCTTTAGAAGGTGTTTGGACCTCCAAATGCTTGCAGAGGTTATGTGAATCCATAGGGGGCTTCACTGGGCCACATAACCATCAAAACTAATCTGCAATTGACATCTTAGCCACATAGAGGGCCAGGTTTGACACAATGCCGTAGAAAGGTCTCCACTGAGTGCCGTTCTCCTTGCATGACTCGCTGCATGTAGGTGTTTTTATCAGCCGAGCAGTGATGGCAGATGTTATTGCACTGATAAAAGGCCGAAAGATGCAACATCTCCTGCCAGGGGGGGGCCAGGGGTCTTAAACTAGTCCCTCAAACACCTGTCTTTGAAGATCCTTTTCAATGTGCAGATGCATACTGACCTGCAACATTTCCCAATCTCCGCGGATTTCTGACAAAATGCATTGCACCCGAGCCCCCATGTAGACGATGCCCTCACTATAAAGCTTTTCCAGGGATTCAACAACCTTGGTACCAAGCAAAGCTTCATTTGTGGATATAGGGCGGTTCATAGCACAAGAGAGAATGGAACAGGCCCCCCCCACTACCGAGCTAAGGAAAACATCTTGCAGCATGCCATCAGCGCGGTGATCTAGGAGCCAAGGAACCGGTTTGAAGTAGGCTTCGAGCGTCCGGAACCCAACACTTTTGTCCTAAGTTCGGATGTTTGGGCCCACCACCAAGGACCTACACCTGGGTGAGCACCGTCTAGAGACCCTATACTAGGGGAGATGATGTTGTTGTGGGTAGTTGGGTACCAATGAGAAACTATTGCTTTCTTGCCTGCGAGGGTCTTCCCTGCAAATCACCAAAGGAAAATGAGTTTCTAGGCTATTTTTGCGATCATCCAAAGTGCAGCCAATGCAGATAGCAAGTACTGATTCATCTTTTCAATAATTTGCCGCATCAGCCCATAGAAACAAAGGTAGCAAATCATTTGAGGGGATTTGCTGGGCCATTGGTGAAGAACACTCACGAAGATGGTTCCAATACCGTTTCCGCTGTCTCAGAGGTACCTCTGGAAATAGCCCATGTTCAATCAGGAACGGCAGCAGATCACTAGGCAAAGTGCACGGCATTTTCCTCACAACAAACCGCAGAGACAGTGTAATGACACGTTTTTCTAGTACTATCCAGTTTCTTCACAGGCATTGTAAGATGGAAAAGTATGCTCTTGTGCAACACAAGGTGCTTTTCAATTTCCGACCAATCTGTTTCTTGATATTCCATGACAGGAACATCAACCCAATGCACAGGAACCTCATCCAGCGTTGCGAACAACAACACTGCTGTTATATAATCATTCTAACCACCAACAGTCTTGGTTTTCCTGGGTCTAGACTTGAATCTAAAAAAAAGCACTAAACCCTATGGATCCACAACCTTCTGAGGTGGTGATTGGAGACTATTTATGTAGGCTTGGAGGGTCCAATTGCCTTCTGAGAAGGTATATAATATATGTGGATCCATAGGGAAAGATCCTAGCTGCTCGGTGGTCCACATCCATGCGGCCCATTTGACGAAACCAATCACGCCGCACATTGTTGGCATGTTTGCCTCCAGCCCCAGCTTTCCCCAAACTAGCAGCTGGTCCCCTCATTTGCACACCCTGAAATTCGAATTCCTTGCAGGGTGAGCTCACTTGGTTGAACATGTGTTGCTTGTGTTGGAACAGGTTTCATATCATAGAGTACTAGGATTGAACAGCAACATGCATCCCATCAGTCGAAGTTTGTCTCCTTCTTGCAATAATCCACCAACTCATGAGCTTTCCTGTAAGAATCCTTGGGTGGAAAGATGTCATGAAGAAATCAGAAATCAAAGGTCTTTCAAAGCTAAACCGAACTGGGTTTGTGCCACGCCACCTTACCCAGCCCACTCTCCTTCAGGAGATATGACGTCAAAGGACTTGTGGTGCTGCAGGCAGTGAGCTGACCTGCGGAGGGGTCAGAGGGACGGGATCAGGGTGCAATGCTTCAACCAGGAAGCTGGAAGGGGGGCTGTAACCACTGTCGTATTTCAGGACCCATGCTAGAAGAATCTAGAAGGGATACCACACTCAGCTTCCACTCCAAGCCCTTTTCTTCTTCTGGAGTGTTTCAGCAACAGCTATCCAGCACCACTCACGCGTATGGACTATATCCCAAGCAAAGATTGCACAAGAACTGGCACCAGGCTGCAAGATTTTGCTACATGTTAACTTTCACTCTGCATCAGTGGGATGAAACAGGAATGAACAGTTGTTCAACCTTGTGCAACACTTTGGCCGCCCTATAGCCGGCAGTGACTAAAGTGCAAGACTGGCTACGCAACTGATCAGAGCAGCTGGACACGTTGGATTGCGAGCTGTCAAACACAAGAAGTGCACAGACTGAAAGCACAAGCGGATGTCTCAGCTGCCCTGTGCAAAACTGTCCAATGAGCAGGCCAGCGCATATCTGACCCTGATCCGATCCAAGTGGCAGGGGAAGCACTAGATGAGCTTGGCACCAATCTTGCACTACAAAATCAAGATCTATGAAGAGGTGGTGGCTGAATGCTTGGATTGGCAAGATCTGGCTATTACAGTATCATTTGTTGAAGATCCTTGAGTGAGACTGTGATGCATGTCGCCCAGAAGCTTCTAGGGAAAACCATTTCCACATCCCTTGGATGAAACATGTCCCTCAAAAGCTTACAGAGAAAACCACTTCAATAGCCTATGCGTTGCATTGCAAAACTGTGTGAACCGATGCAAACCTATATGCGTGGCATACCAAATATTGGGATAAGGAAATGTATGCTGCCACATGGAAAACACATCCACGCATGTTAGCACGCGTGAGCGGATTGAGCACCGTTTCAGGTAGCAGGGGCAGGCACATTGGCTCCCTTGTCCTTTGCCGCCTTCGGTTTTTTTGGTTCCTGGGCAAGCCGAAAGCTGTGTAGGGTCATGGGTGTTGAAAAGGCAGAGAACAGCTAAATATTGGCCACAAAGCTTAGCAGCAGCTAAGTATCAATGGAAGCTTTGATGCTCTTGTAGGTCCCTGTAAAACTGGTAAAAGCAGCTTCTGCTGCACCCAAATGGTCACTAATCTCCTTGGACAAAGCTGGGTCTTCCTGGATTTTTTTCTCGTCTTTTCCCAACGTCTTGGCATAGGTCGTCTCCAACTGGCGTTTCACTTCCGAGATAGCTTTTCTGGAGATGTCCAACTCATTTTTGAAGCCAGCAAGTAGTGTTTGGGACCTTCAGTTGAAAAGCAGCTGAAACCCAAAAATCCTAGACTCAACACACACTTTGTTCTTTCAGACTATGCAGGTTAGGTTAATTTAGCTGAGTAGCAAAGTGGTACAATCTGTGATCTTGGATTCCCATGCCATGCACTCTGTCAGCTTTGCCGAGCTAGCACTGATCTTCGATTGCAACTGCTTTGTCAATGGAACAACCCGTTTCTTGTTGGGAGGGGGCGGCGGGGGCAGAGTGCCCTCCACAGAACGAGTACCATCACCAGGCAGAATCACAGGGACATTGGAGTTGAACTGCTGCATGTGGTTCCCCATGGCAATCTGCCTTGGAAACAAAAGTCGCACATGTTTCACAGAGCTTTCATGCATATCCTTGGACCTACATTGCAATACATGCAAGAAACTCACACCCGCTTTTGAAATATCACAAAGGTGCATAACCTCTCTTGACTGCTGGGCATCAAGGTTTCCGTGTCCTTCAATTCCAATTTCCATACGGTCCGTCGTCTCGTCTTCAAACGTCATTGAATCGAATACCCTCACTAGGTCGTACTCCTGGTTCAGTTGGGATGATGAGGAAAATGTTATGTGCATGTTGTTGGAAGGTGCATGCCCTTTAAGCTTGTGACATTTCACACACACATGCAACTCATGGGAAAACACCGGCCTCAGTTTGCTCACCACAGTCTGGGTGGCGCATCCAATAGACGCATTCATCGCCTGGCTCCTTTTTTTCCTCGAAATCCTTTTTTTCGTCCCTGATTTGTTTCGCAAGTGCTGTACCGTACTTGGCCTTTAAGGCCTTGTATTCCATCATAATGTACGTGCCACGTTTTTTCTGCTGTTTGGATCTTGAGGCATTTGCTACAATGCTTGAGTTCATCCAGTTCTGGCCTGAGCTTAGCCACTCCTCAAAGAGTGTGCCAAGCAGCTGTCGATCTTAGCTGGCCATCCAGCAGGGCAAGAAAAAAATCTATCAGTTCCTAGCACAGAACATTTGCTCTGTGTCATAGTGACTTGAGACAAGGGACTGTAGCGCCGACCCTTCGCTTTCTCCAAAACAGCCGCAGGGCAGTTTGGGCCTAGGATAAATATCTTGGTTTGTTTTGCAAATTTGACACGTTAATTAAGTTTTTTTTTGAAGCGTTAAATCCGGCTTGCTGTACATGTTTTGCAATCCCAGTAGCTCTGAAATGTTCTATTAAAGCGCATCCTTGTGTTGACCGCGAGACGTGCATCCTTCTCCTCTGGGGTCTCTCCTGGGTGTTCTTTCTCAAGATGTTCACATCGATTACCGAGAGCCTTCTTCTTTGCTGATGCCTGTAAATGTGAAGTCAGTACACAAATTTTCAACAAATATGCATATGCACAGATGCCACAAACAATTTCTTGCCTCCAACTGAGTGGTATCCTTCCTTGCGATTATCTCACGCTGGGCCATCAGATGTGGCTCCGCCGGCTTCTGTGAACCAATTGGCACCACCTCCACAGGACAGTGTATGCAGTGTGCACTAGCGTTCTTGGCATGTAAAATACATATAACTCCTTCCCCCCTAAAAGTTGAGAGGTGACCAAGTGCACCTGAACACCTTGGTACGAGAGAACATCCACTCCCTGAGCCAGGCTTGCATCAGTGCCACCTGCTGCAGCATTTGGCAATGGAGAGGCCTGGAAACATAGTTGATTGGGGCCGGCTCTGGTTCAGAATACCTAAATAGACTTTTGAACAATATCGTACTAAAAGTCTATTTATTTTACTGCACGCACAAAGTGTTGACATGTACACAAGAGCCAACAAAAAGAGGCCTGTGGCACAGGTGAAGGCAAGGTGTCAATGCACAAGGGCTGCAACTCTTGAAGAAAGCCAGGGTCCACCAGATCTTCCATCGGGCTCTTCTCGACCAATGCCTCAACCTTGCCAGCATCCTTGAGATGACCCTTGAATGCCTGGTAGGCCTTTCCAAACATTTCCCGGGCAAACTGCTCAAGCGCCTCACCTGCTCTGACCTCCCCATCCGCCAACACAACCTGCGCCTTCTCCATAACCTCGATCTTTCCTGTTGCCCAGTCATCCACAGCCTTTTGGTTCGCTTTCCCAAGCTCAGATGAATCCCAGTTGGGATCAATCTGCCCTAGTTTGGCCTTTTGCTGCTGAAACATAGCTTCAGCAGAAGCACGAACCTTCACCTTGTAGACCTCCAACTGTTCACGATGCTCTTCAATTTTTTCAATGCAGGCGGCATGTTCCTTGCGACCAGCAATGAACCTAGGAAGGTCTGCCTCCATGGATGGATCCAACTTTGCAATGTCCTTGAGTTCATAGCGTCGGTCAAACCACTGAACAACAACAAACAATGCCTTGTTCTGGTTCTCATCATTCAGGGCCTTGAAGTCCATGAAGGTGACTTCATCTACACACAAGAGCTGCCAGAGTGGCATGTCAAGGTCCTCAAAGGTCAAACAATGTTGCTCGGCACCAAACTCGATCGTAGCCATCGTCGCAAGATTGCGAAGTGAAGCCTTGCCATTGTCTCCGGATGAGGCTGGCGACCCTTAAGTAAGGAGAGATGTGCAGCAGTTGGCACAGCAGTCCAACACATGCACATGGACAAACAACCCAAAAAGTAGGACACATGTGTGATAAAAGAAGACCAGGCACATGTTGGGATGCCATCCACATGGCCAGTGACCACATTTACAGCCTAGGCTAAGCACACACATCCTTTACCAATAATATTTCAGTAGTACACTAACGACTCAGCCAATGCATGCACTTGCAAAGAATATACAAGGCCATGCAACGGGTGGAATGTCACAAGGACGTCCCTTTGCCTGCTCAAACTCGACGTCCAAGGAGCGTGGCACAAGCGGATCGAGTGAATGCTTATCAGCCCTGGCCGAGGAAGGAGCAGGTTTCACACGTTTCAGGGCAGGGCTTCTGACAGGTGTCGACTTGGCAGATGCAGGAGCAGGAGGTGTCTTCCCAAACTTCTCGGATTTTGTCGGAACTATAACATCAGCACGAGCTGGAGTTGCAATTGGCTTCACAGGACCTCAACTGTTAAGCAGGTTGTGACACGACATTAACATACATATGCAGATGCACCACGCACACATGTACAGGCAAGCCACCTGGAAGCTTTACCCCCAACCGCTTCTCTATATCAGACATCTCTGCATTTGCACTGAAGGAGTCACCAGATGACATAGATCCCACCTTATAGGCATTAGTACTGCTGATTGAACACAAAAAAAAGCTAGGTAAGCATATGTTAAAGTGTTCCCTGTGCCAAAATCCCAATACTAAAAGGAAAAGCCCCCCCACTGAAGGTGATGGACGTGTCTTCGCTGCCGTTGTGGAAGGTCGTTTCATCCTCTCAGGCAGATTTGTTGGAAATTCAAAAGTAACGCTAAATAACGCTAATCTAACGGCTAACTTTCTCTGAGAACGCGATTATAACGCTAAATAACGCTAATTTAACGCTCCTTCTGGCAGCCAGAAATCCACAAATCCGGCCCAGCTTGGATTTTGATCCCTGTAGGCTGCACATCAGCACAATAATAGCCCACCAACCCCTTTACACTGAACTAGCGGGATCTTGTTGATTTCAGTTTTGTTACAAAACAAGAACAAGCTAGATGTTTTTTATTCAGGAATGAGGAGGACCACTCCATATGTCATGTTCCACTACACATGATCAGTGAAACAGGAGAGTGCTAAGCTTAAGAGCTGTATTGCAAAAGCATATTTGGCACACGGGCAGGTGAAGGTCCAAAGCCTATATCATCTTCAGGCTGCTGCAGGAAGGTGCCGGCTGCAACACTGCAAGATCTCAAATTGAACTGTTTGGCATGTCATGTGGTGGTGCAGGGACCTGAAATCATGCTATGTTGGAAAACGTCTCATTTATGGAGGTGGTTGGTGACCAAGAGCCTGTTTTACCCTCTAGAATTGCACAGGAAGGCCAAGTGTCCTAACATGTCCCAAAATGGCCCTTGCACCAGCTGACAGATAGCCAAGGCAAACCCTGGCCAATCAAATTTCGGGCAGCAGTACTAGTAGTACCTGAATTAAATCTGTCCTAGGGCATGAATTTGGTAGCACTACAATGGCTACACGGCCTACTACCAGCAGATCAAAAGGAAAGAGAGAAGTTGCTTTCATTCTTGAGGGGATTGCCCAAAACTCGAGTTCTAGATATATACACGGCCCTTTATAAACCATGGAATTGTACATGTACAGAGAGGGGGTTCATTCCATCGGCAAGTACACCCACCTAGTATCCAATGGACTCCTTTGCCAAGTGCAACAAAATCATCAGCCTAGCAGACAATTACCTTCTCAATCCTTTTTGATCCACTGCTCAAAGAGCCTATCAAAATCTTCTTTACTCGGTGTGGTTTTCCATGAAACCAAAGGATCTGGGCTAAACAGCTTGCTATCCACAGCCCTCTTCAAAACATCGTGCAAGGAGCCCAGCATTGCATGGTGCCAGTCAGCATCTTCAACAGGCAGGTCCTGCCAGAGATGGTCTTCAAGCCAAACAAAACCAGGTGTTGCAACCAAAACACTAGTGTAAAAGGGCATGCCCTAAACTCACAACATGTTGCCAAAGTATCCTTGAACCCATTCATCACAAGGGCAACTCGATCAGGTAGAGTTTCTCCACTGGCCTCTGGCCATATACAAGTTGGATTCGTTTAGAAACACAGTTTCCAAATGGACGTGTGTTTTGTTAAGATTCTTCAGATAATTGGTATATACATGTGTGTCTGGACCCAGACAAGTCACCATCCCCTCCATGTGCAACTTACATACCGCTCTTCCGAAGTCCAAGGGATACGCTGCGCTGGCTTTTAGATCTTTTCCTCCACACCTAAGCTGGAAGGCGGGTAGGTGCCCCCATCAATTTGACCCAACAACCCATTGCATTTATCTCTCACACGCAGATGCATTCTAAGTTTACCACACTTGGGGTTTGTTCGTCCCCTTCTGAATAGTTTTTTTTGGTCATTTGACGACCCTGCGCCACAGCTAGTAGCTTGATTTGGTAGCGGTGCATCGCCAGTAAGGGGCGATAGAGCTTGGGCATCCATAGACTCAGTTCAGCCCAAGGTCACTTGATGATGATGCACACAGTCACATGCACCATATGGTCTCTAAAAAAGACTTGGACATACTTGGACATTAGCACCTTACTGCAAGTGACCAGTTGCCAAGCCCCATTTGCGGTTTCTCACACCAGGATCCATAGGAGCACATATACCTCATCAGCAACCCCTTGCACTGCATGGTGGGTAAAGAGTTGAACAATCATCCCCCCAGTGTTCATTGTTGCATGTGCATGGCTGGAAATGATAAAGAACCAAGGCCTGTACCAGAAAACACGTTGAGGGAGAACAGCAAAGCTCATCAAATGCTGAAGGTAAGGGAATATGCATAGAGCAGAGCGATCTGGATTTTCAATGAAGAACTTCACATTTCTGGCTACACAAAGACAGATGAGAAGGCACATCCGACTTCCCAGGATGTTGCCTGCATGTACCCATGCATAGTGGCCACACCCAAATGGGTGCTCAACACTCCGAGCATGCTGAGGTTTTGAAAGCCAGGTGTAGCTATTACAGGGCAAGCCAAAGTAAGCTAAACCACCCTCTCCCAAGCGAAGAATCTGGCGGATAGCGAAAGAGAATCCTATCTCTCCTAGCAAGTCGTGGGCGCATCCGTCGGTCAAGTAGTCCATTGATTGCCTTAGCAATCACAAAAGTATGGTCCAACTCCAGTCACCCTCTCAACCCGTGACCATTGGTCAGATTTGTTCCAAAGCACGCCGATAGGCCAGCCTCTCCTGAGCAAGGCTGCCGGGCGTCCAAGTGGGGCAAGGGCCGAACATCCACAAGAACCGATGAGATTTTAAGAACACTTCACTAGGGACAGACTAGCAGCGAAAACCATTGGCCACTGCGCCAACACCGGCAAACATCTCCACACAATGTAGGTCCTGACTCGTTGTTCAATACATGCAAATACATGCACACACAGATTGAAAGAGGTTCTGATCGCCAAATTTCCACTTGGATTGGGCCCTGGCAAAAGGCCACCACAAGTCCTATACCAATGCAAAATATTTTGGAGGGGCCAAAGGGGTCTTTTTCATGTCCCAATCCAACTGGAAAATTGCCAGTTCTGATATATCGGATCGAGTCAGTATCGATTGTTTTGTGTTTTTAGACACGACATGCCCAGTCCCGAACACATCCAGCGGCATCCGCTATGCCTCCAACATAGTCCACAAGGTGCACCCTTAGCTTTGACATGAAGTGTGCCTGGTGGGTTCAGTTTGCCATTAGTTGAAAGCTGAGTTGAACTTGTTTGGACTACTGTTTCATACACTTTATCCTCCAGGGAAGCTTTATCCTTCATGGCGAGGGGTTAGTAAGATCACTCAGCCATTCTCTTTTCCTCGGAACTCAGTTGGGTCGTGGAATATGCCCCCAAGTCATTATGGCAATTTTCCTTTGGCTTGGGTATGGAATCTGGCGACATTCCAGATTGTTCACCACATTGCATCATGGCCTCCTCCTAAGGCCAACCCAAGAGGTTTATAGGGCAGTTGATGTGGGACTTGAGGGGGGGGACCCTGTCACGTCTATCCGGCGCACCGGTGAACCCCCGTAAAGGGGGGGGGGTTGGGCCTCCACGACCAACCAAAACACCCCAAAGGGGGGGGGTTAGGCCACTAGCAGAGGTAGGTAGCTAGAGAGGTAGACCAAATGATACGATGTCAAGGAACATGATCGGCGGGCACCCCATGACCAATAGCACCAACACTTGCAGAAGGCTCATCTTCACAGACTGACAAGCCATGGCACTAGAAGCAAACGATTTCTGCAGCTCAGTGAATGTATATGTACAGATCACTTTGAACATTTCGATCGTAATCATTTCAACTTATTTATAAATATATGGTGTCCGGAATTGCCGCTTTTCTGCAATTTGAGCCACACCCCACAGACACCTGCGATGTTGTTTTCCCAGGGTATCCAGATGGTATCCACATGCACAACTGCACACTACAAGTTGAAGTGTGTCACCTTGCCCAAATCACATCTCCGCATGGATCACATGGTCAACATGGTCAAAACAAAAAGGATCATGCCTCATGCGCAGCTAAATTGAATGCACCTGCAAATATGAAAAAACTGTCTCACCGATCTCGATTTCGGGGGTTGCACCTCCATGCCGTAGTGGCACAGCATGAAGGACCTCTGCAGGACCTGGCTGATCAGAACAAATGACAGAACTGTTCACATGCATGTACCATGATCCCAGCACATGCAGATGGTGTGAAATCTCAAGAGTCCTCTCAACCTGTCTTGGCCCACATGTCTCATGCACATGATTGTGTGAAAATGTAAAAGATCGAAAGTAACTGCTAGCCCAACATTACACACTATTACACGCATATGTACAGCATTCTGACGGTTCTGGCTGA